CTGATTTTTTTTTTCAGGTCTGATTTTCGCTATTGCTTAAATAGCGCTATCTACTGCGAGGATCGTGCATCATACGTATCTAATACCGCAGTTCAAAATATATGAACTTCATATATTTCATTGTATCTGATTTATCACTTTCACGGGTTTATTACGAATCAACTTAACGGCCTGCTCCCAGTTGGCTTGTTAGCTCAATTGGTAGAGCGCTGCACTAGTATCGCAGAGGTCAGTGGTTCGAATCCCGTACAGGCCTGATTTTTTTCAGGTCTGATTTTCGCTATTGCTTAAATAGCGCTATCTACTGCGAGGATCGTGCATCATACGTATCTAATACCGCAGTTCAAAATATATGAACTTCATATATTTCATTGTATCTGATTTATCACTTTCACGGGTTTATTACGAATCAACTTAACGGCCTGCTCCCAGTTGGCTTGTTAGCTCAATTGGTAGAGCGCTGCACTAGTATCGCAGAGGTCAGTGGTTCGAATCCCGTACAGGCCTGATTTTTTTTTTCAGGTCTGATTTTCGCTATTGCTTAAATAGCGCTATATACTGCGAGGATCGTGCATCATACGTATCTAATACCGCGGTTCAAAATATATGAACTTCATATATTTCATTGTATCCAAAGAATGAAGTTGCTAATTCTTATGATCAATTTTTCGAGGATATGGCAGATCAGAATTTTATTGGTATTTTGTTAATGGCGACGAGGAGTGTAGCTTTTAAAAGTGTTATGTTGATTGTCAGTCTACTTCTCAATAATATCAGTCACAAAAATATTTCTATGGAGTTTCTCTATTACAAGTAGGTTTTTCTAATGTAAGGATTTTTATCTACGTACCTTCATCACCAAGTTAATATTTTGGAGGACATTTTAGTTTATAGACTAAAGTGAAGAAATGAACGATTGTTTGATTGTGTCTGTTTCGTGAAGCACAAACGCGAACACGGTGTGTAAACGACTGATTAATATATGGTGTTGGTAGTTGAATTCTTACAAATACATCACATCGATGCGTTATAACCATTTTCAGAAAGTAGATGATGTACTAGATGTGATCAGGACGAAAAGAATGTCAACGTGAATTGGTGCAATATCGTTCCATGTATATGAACACTGAGATGTCTCATAAACATCTGTGTGCCCTGCGAGCAGAGGTCCGTTCGATCTCACTAGAAATGTCAGGGAGAAGTCTTCCCGACATTTCTAGGAAGATCGAAGGGACTTCTGCTCGCAGGGTAACGTCTGTGGCACAGCGTAAGGAGATTGGCATATTCTAAAAAGTTCTTCGCATGTATCAGAGTGGGATCTGTATTCGTTGTATTCCTTAAGTTTTACGACTCACTGGCTGTCACATTAAATAGCTGTACGTTCAGTGATGCAAAACGAGAGATTGACAGCAACATAATTTGACAGTTTATAATCTTCTATAAGCCCACGCAAAGCTGCTTTACAAATGTGCTTCCTGTACACTGTTGTTTTGTAGTGAAAGGTTTCTTTATTGTAAAATGACATATCACTTGGTTACTTACCAACTGTTCAAATATTTTGTCAACAGCTGAAACGGANCATAAATAAAATGGTGTTGGCAACTAGCTCCTTCTGACTTCTTCCGAGAGAAAATATTTAACAATTATTCGCCGAAGGCGAGGTGAATATCGTCGAATAATCCCCGAGACGAAGTCGAGGGGATTATTCGACAATATTCACCGAACCTGAGGCGAATAATTGTTTTAGTATAATTTCAGAGCTGAACAACAGAGAAATGTCTAAAATCATAACATTTTAGTAACATTTATTAACATTTTATTTTAACATTTTATATAAACCGCGTGGAGCGGTTTATATAGCGTCATATAAGGAACTGCTCGACCAATCAGATTGCTGAAAACTCATTGCTCAGCTCTGAAATTATACTAATGATAAATATAATAATAATTAACAAAATGCAGAAAACTGTGCTCCTCATAACGGCACACATTTTTATTGCCTATGTACCAAAATTCACCTCCGGGTATCAAAGACATGACCATTGAACTGGGAACTAGTCACTCACTTTATTTTCTTCGTAATGATAAGTTCTTTTTATTCCTCTTGCTAATTAAGCCTAGTCAGAAGTTGGAGATGGCCAAAATTTCACGTGATCCAAAACCGATCGTCTTGGACGGATGGATGATTTAGAAGCAAGCAATGAAGGTTTTTATGTCAAACTTCATACACTCATAAAACGGTATCAGGTGTACTCATTATCCCTTCCAAGTCGTTACTTGTTACTGATAATTAATGCGTCAAAAGCAGGAAGCGAGGGAGAATTATCGATGCTATAATAACCACGATAAGGAGTGTAGTTTTTAAAAGTGTTTTGTAGATTGTCAACCTATTTTTCATAAACACCAGTATTAATAAAAAAAATTAAGCAATTTCTCTTCACTAATACTATCATTTTTGCTGTTACTTCTCCTTTTTGTGGCTTTTTCAGTACGTTAGTATTTCGGACAAGCTTTCAGTTGATAGACTTAAAGTGGAAAAGTGAAAGATCGCTTGATTGACTGAAACGTTTTGTGTTCAGCCGTTTACTGAAGCAAAACGCAAAAATGACGAATGAGTAGAATACCTAAGTGGACTCAGAGAGTTAATGAAATGTAATACTTTTTGACAAGGTGCTAAACGCAATTAAAGAGGCATTTTTCTTTAAATCGAGTGCTGAGGAAGGATAATTCATGAAAACCAGATAAAAAAGTTTCTTTAAGGAGGAAAAGTTGTTCGAAGAGTCATAAGCAGCCAAACTTTGTAACTCAGTAGGTAGGTAGGTAACTTTACTTCAACGCGGGTTGTTGAGGCTGATTAGGCCCCTAGCAATACATGCTAATATGCTAAGCACACCCACCCATCCCACCATCTCCAACATCTTGGGGTGGGTAGGTAGGTAACTTTATTTCAACTCGGGTTGTTGAGGCTGATTACGCCCCTTGCAATACATGCTAATCTGCCAAGCACACCCACCCATCCCACCATCTCCAACATCTTGGGGTGGGTAGGTAGGTAACTTTATTTCAACTCGGGTTGTTGAGGCTGATTAGGCCCCTAGCAATACATGCTAATATGTCAGCATAGTCAGAGACACCTTATAGTGAACATAGAAAAGTGGTAAGGTTTTTTTTCCCAGACTTGCTTCTTTATCCTAGAAAATTCACTAAAACTGAAACGAGCGTCGGTAGCCGTAATTATAAAATGGCGGAAATCAGTGCCCCGAGTAGAGGCAACTGAACTTTGCTCATGAAAAGCACAAAAGAAAACAAGCTCGTATCAATTTTACAATAGAGGTATGCTTAAAGTAAAAAACGGGACCATTCCATTTAATATGGAGCTCACGGAACGCTTTTGAAAATTACCATTATTTCAAAATCCAAATATCGCATTTCTTAGCTAATTTCGAATTATCATTTTCTCCATGCGGTATAACTCAGAATCGGTTCAGGTTAAGCTCATTATAAGTGGAAATAGTGTTGTTCTCGAAGATATTAAAATTAGTTTGGGGCTTTTCATTTCCGCACGGAACAGCCAGGCTGAACTTTGGGAAAATTTACGTCACAATCTAATCTAATTAGGCATCCTGTGGTTAAACCCGGAATTCTAAGCACATTTTAGCAGTTAGCACAGTGTTTAATAAGGTAATCAAAACAATAAGCTTGCCTTGGATAGCCAAGGACGATAGATTAATTTTTATTCTTGCTTTCGTTTCAAATTCTCATACATTTCCGATGGCGAAATTGTTTACAATATCACCTTCTGCTAGCGAAGGGCGTCTGTTTTTCTTAGCATATTCGAACACATTTAAGTTTTAAGAAAAGTCTAGGGTAATGTTGAGTATCTTTATGAGATGGTAAGGGGAAAATTCAAACAGTTGTACCGGTTGGTCAAATGTTTTTGTACCGGTATAACTGATTGAATCTGTGTCAGTGACGTTATACACCGATTACTTCGTAGCTTCACATCGAGCTTCTGACTGTCGTCCTTTGAATATTACCAAGGTGGGGATGGAAATTTGAACCGGAAGGGTTAAGTCTTTCTACTGGAATACTGGTGGTTTATCTTTTAATACGGAACACTTAGAGCGAACGGCTCAGCAGATAGGGTCTACAAGGTCTAGGTTTAGAAGCTTGAATAGTCAAATCAATTGGTGGTCAATAAATAGAAAGTCGCGGTGCTGATCTTGCCATTTACAACAGGTGTGACAATCAAATGAGGGTCTCCATGGGAAGATGGCTTTGACGGCTAACGGTTGAAGTTTTAGCCATTTCAAAAGGCTAATACTAAATTTTTTACGGTTATCGTTTTTTACGACTGACGGTCAAAATTTTTCAATTTTTACGCCTAACAGCTACTTTTTTGGACCGTTTTACGGCTAACGGTTACTCCATGAGACTCACTAAAATCTGGCACTTGGGCATCATTTTTTTTCTAGCATAATAATTGTAGTATCCCTCCGTCTAACGATGTAATCTGTTTGATAATCACGGAAAAAACTCTGTCAGTGTCTTCATTCACTTACGACTGAGTCTAATTATTTTCAGTTATTAAAAGCAATTACCGAAGGGGTTTTAAACGGGGTGGGAAGCCCTCGTACAGTTTTATGAAGCACGCTCGAGAAATTGAGTTTGATAACAAAATTATCGTGCTCCCCAGAAAAAGAAAAAAGGCCTTAGCAGTCATCCAATTCAAAGCTTCAACATCCCCCCTCCTAAAACTTGTTTCATGAATCAGCTGTGCGTTCATAAGGAAATGAAGCACGCGGGAAGTTTGAAGAGCACCAAAGATGCGCTTCTTGAGGCCCAGGTGAAGTTAACTCTAGTTTCTTGAGTGCTTCTATTTTAGGTGAGCTCACAGCTGACGCATGAATCAGGTATTTTGCGATTTTTTTCTGAGGTGTTAGCATAAAGATGTTCTACATCACACACACGTCATCGTTTTGCACAACGGGAAATTTTAT